CTCACCTTGGCGACAACCTGGCTTGGCCTGCAGCCACCCACTCTGTCAACCAGGGATGGAGGGCTGGACTCTGAATTCCTCTACCCCGGAGCTCTTGACCTGGGGAGAGCAGAGCTCTGGGAAATGCGGCCTCTGGAGAGGTGACCTCAGAGGCCCGCACACGCCCAGGGCGCGAGGTGTGAACCTGGGCTCACGTGCACAAACAGCCTCTCTGCCCAGGCCACCCAGCCTGCGCCAAGCCAGCTGCCCGCCCACCGGCCTCGGAGCCCCGGGCCACTGTCCAAGGGGCTGGCTTCTCCCCGTGTCCCTCAGAGCCCCTGTGGCCAGTACCCAGGCAGGGAGGCCTGGGCCTGGGCCAGTACCTCTTTGCTGAGGAGGAGGGGCCTGCCCTTCTGGCCTGAGAGCTGCCTTCCTGAAGCAGCCTGGCCACAGCTTAGCGGTCAGGACTAAGTGCTGAGCAAACACCAGCCCACTGGGCAGTCAGGCCCCCACAGCAGCCAGCACCAAGTCACTCCTGGGCCTGCTGCTTACTCAGCTGTGCAAGCAAGTGCAGGCAGGGAGTGGAGGACCTGTACTAGGTCCAGGGACTTGGCAGGAGGACGCCTGGGGGAGAGGGCTACTTCTTGCCTCCCCCTCCCCTCATGCTCCCTGCCAGCCTCAGTCAAGATCAACCCTAGGGGACAGTGGGAGCCAGAGCTGCTCTGGGTTCTCCTCTTGTGTCCTGGTTGACCCCCAGGCAAGGCCTTTGCGGTTTCTAGGCTTCCAATTCCCTCTCTCGGTCCAGACATGGTAGCTTCCTTCCCTTCACCGTGAGAGGCAGCCACTAACGAGGGAGAGAATTGGGACCACCACTGTGTCCACTTCACGTGGAGCGGCAGGGTGCCTCAGGACACCCCAGGGCAGGTGGCAGGGGTGCTGGCCCTGGCCAGGCCCCCTTGGTGAGGAAAAAGGGGCCTTTGTAGTGGCCGCTGGACTCTGGGTGAGGGTGGGGGCCAGACCAGGCACAGGGCCTGGCGTGGAACATGCTCATTCATTCATCCGGCAGACCCCTTCCTCTGTGCTGTTACCCTGCACAGCTAGGGACTTGGAAGGGCGTGTAGGGAAGGGGTGCAAGAGGGTGGGTTTGGAGCGGCTGTGCTCCTAGGAAGTGCATTTTCTTGAGTGCAATGTTGGATTGCCTGCTTCCCCAGGGCATTGGAAATGCACATTCTCAGGTTCCGCCCCAAACCCAGGTCCTTATGTGGGTTTGGTTTTGACTCAGGATCTCATCAATACCAGAATTTGGGGCCTGGAACTTTCTGAAGAAAACAAGTAGGTGCCTGGAGGTATCACCTGAGCTGGGCCAGTTCTGATGACTTTTCTGTTAACGTCTCGGCCTCCTCTCCCCAAAAGCAGGCAGTGGGACCCAGCTCAGGGACCGGCCTCCCAGGCCCTCTGCCCTGAGAATCCCACAAGAAGGGAGCTCTGTGTCTAAATATGTTCATTCCAGCCCCACTTCTAAAGGACCATTAACTGAAAAATAATTACATATTAGATAAGGAGGAAGGGTGACAGGGTGACCTCAGTGGGGTGACCTCCCTGGTCTGAGGAACACTGATGGGTGGTTGGTGGGAATGCAGTGAGCTTTTTGGGCTGATGACAAAACCATAAGGTGAGGTGAAGGGCAGGGTCTGGAGCAAGACTGGGGCTACTGCATGCTGGCTCTGACCCCACCTGGCTATGTGACCTGGAGTCATCACCAAAGCCTTCTGCGCCTCAGTTTCCTTGTCCCTGACAGGAGCTGATTCAAGAGCACCCCCCTCCCGGGCAGCAAGGGAGATAATATACAGTTTCCACAGCGCTCAGACCTCGCTGTGTTCAGTTCTTGTTATTAAACAACAGGCTGTTATAGCTGACTTCTGTCCCCACCGCCTCCCAAATTCACGCTAACTGCCAGGACCCCAGAATGGGACTGCTTTGGACACTGGACCTTTATAGAGGTGATGCAGTCAAAGTGAGGCCATGGGGGAGGGTGGGCGAGGTGGGGAAGGCAGATGAAAGAGAAAGCCCCAGGGTGCTCCTCTTGGCCTGAGAACAGGGGTCTGTTGACCCTCCTGGGGCCCAAAGCCTTGCCCCTGAGGAAAGGCAGGATAGCAAGTGGGTAATAACAAGCAGGCTTCAGGACCAAACAGCTCTGACACGTTAATGCAGCACCTCAAGCTCTCTGCACCTCAGTTTCCTCATCTGGGAATTGGCAACAGAGACTTCTCGGCCTTGTGGGGCACAGTGAGCTGACATGTGGGACGTACACTCAGGGAGTCTCGCCACCATCCCCATTCACCCAACAAGGCCTCAGAATAGGGAGATGCCTTGCCCCAGGCCACACACCTAGTAGGTGGTAAGATCAGGACTTAAAGCAGGACAGTCTCCCTGCTCCACCTGCACCACTGTGGAGTGGCCAATGGTGACCCCCAGCTTCCCAAAGGCTGCTGGGAGGCGGCAGGAGACGTGAGGCTTCTTGGAACCAACAATTGCCCAGGTTTCCGGCAGAGTCTAGGCCAGGGTTCAGGGTCACGCCTGCCGCTGCTGTTCCTGGCAGCTGGGAGGAACCGCGGTAGCATGCCTGGAAGTCTGACTGGAGGTGCAGGTCCAGCCGTGGCCAACAGGGCCCCTGCATTGTTTTCTGGACACCCCAGCCTAGGGCCCACTGTAGGGATTTCCTGTAGCCTGGCCAGAATGACCTGTTTTCCGGAGCAGCTTTCCCCCGGCAAGGCGGCTGGGCCGGCTCACCACCCCTCGCCCTCGGCAGGGGCTGCTGTGGCGGCCACTGGCCACAGCACCATCAACATCCTCCTGCCCCGGAGGGTCTGGGCCCCAAAGACCGTCCTCCTCATCCCATCTCCTGCGCCCGGAATTCATTTCCATCTTAGGGCTACCTGGGCAAGTCAAACGCTCTTCTTAGGGCGAGCTGGACCCCTGGGGGCCTTCCAAGGTTGGCTCAGGGGCGACCCACAGGCCCTTGCTCTGCTGCGTCTGGCGGCAAAAGCTCTTGGGTGGACGGCCAGTTTCCCTCTTGTGCTCCTTAAAGGAACCTACATCAGTGACCGCCACTTACCCCAACGCTCCAAAGCTTTCCCAGCTCCGTGCTGAGCCTTCCCACCCCGAGTGGCGTCAGCCTCTCTGCTCTGAGCTCAGTCTCATCTGGGAAATGGGAAGCACCGGCCGGCAGGGGAGTGCTGGGGACCCCAGGAGTCACCTAGTGAAGAACACTACCCCTGCCTTCCAGACCTGTCCAGGGGACAAATGGAGAGGCCACACCCTGGGCTTTGGTGCCTTTCCCCAGCGTTCTGCAGGTGTCTGTGCTTGGGAGAGGCCCTGCCCCCGCCGCACCAGAGGGCCTGCAGCCACACCAACCCCTCTGCCACAGGCTGATAGCCGGAGGAGGTGCCCAGAGCTGGCAGCATTCCCGGTGATGTCAGCGCCATGGAATTAGTCAAACAGAATCACCCTGAGGATTCTGTGTGGGCAGCAGTGACTCATGCTACCTGGCGAGGCCGAGCTGGCACGGTTGCAGCCACCGCTCTGCACACCTCAGCGCACCTCGGGAGGCCAGGGGAGCATGGGGCAGCGTGGGGGTCAGCCCTCTGCACAACTCCCCGGGTGGGGAGGCCAGACCCCCCCCCCCAAGGTTCAGATCTGATACCCACTTTTAGGCATGACCTTGGGTGAGTCAATGTCTCAGAACTGGTTTCTTCAATTTGTAATATGGAAATAATAATCCTTGCCTCACAAGAGAGGAATTAAATGAGATCATGTGTGTAGAAAGTGCTTGGCAAAGGGCACCTTTTAAGGAGTGGCAGTGGGGTACAGGGGCAAGGGCCATGCTGGGAAGCAGGTTGCCCGGCTCTGGGTCCTGGCCCCACCTCCCCCCACTGGGCTTCTTTGAAAGTTCCTCAGCCTTTGCATGTGAGTCTTCTGTAACAGGAGCTGCTGGCGCGCCTGCTGCCTGCCTGCCTTGTGGGCTGCTTGTGGGCTCAAGAGCCTCCATTTTATGGGAGGATGGGGGAGGCTCAGTGGTGGGGGCTAGCCTGCCCGGCCTGCAACCTCCGCCCAGGGGCCTGTGGGCTTCGTGGCGTGGAGAAGGGCTCTCGTGTAAGGGACAAAGGCGGCGACGCCTGTCTCCAGGGCTGCCGTGGGTGGGGGCTCAGATGGAGCCCGGAGGCCGGTGGGGCTCTGCTGCCGGTGTCCATCCTTCTCCAGGCCTCTGTCCACCACGGCCCTTGCGGGCTATTGCCCTCTGCAGGCCTCTGCCCCATCCTGCTGTGGTCTTCACAGCCAGCCACAGGCCCCACCTTCCAGGCATCTTCCCTAGGCTGTAGTGGGGGCCCTCAAGACCCCAGAATAAATAAAACCCCTCCAAGAGTTACAGGCGGGCCCCCAAGGGCAATGCACATGGCACAGAACAAGCACCCAAGGGCCAGGGTGGGGCGCCAGGGCGGGCACCACGGCTCAGTGGCGGGCGGCACTCGCCCACTCCTCCCAGGCGGAGGGAGCGGAGAGCCTGAGGCCAGGGCCGGCACCCGCAGGACACCGGCCCGTCGGCCCAGGAGGAAGCCCCGGACGGCTCAGCTCTAAGAGCCCAGTTTCAGGAAGGAAACCCGGAGCCTCAGTGTCCTCTTCTGTGCAACGGGGACTCTGCCTCACTGGTGTGCAGGGCACCCCAGACGGAGCCCGTCAGGAACAGGAGGGGCGGGGCAAGGGTGAGGGCGGCACTGGAGGAAGGGCCCGCAGCAGCCCGGACAGGCGGAGGCTGCTGACAGCGTAAACCCAGTTTTATTGGCTTGTTCACTTGAGCCTCCTGCTCAGAGAACCACAGGGCCACTGGGCTGGGGGTGGTGCCTGGGGGCCCCCCAGCTCGTGCTCTTCGCCCTGCCCCTGGGAGGGCCGGAGGGGTGGCCCCTCGGGGTAGGAGGCTAAGGTCACTCGGTGTGGGCCCAGGGCCTGTTCCTCACAGCAGGAGGTAGGAGGGCCCACATAAAGTTCTTTATTACAGACCTACAAAAAATGAGAGAATTATATATTACTCTCGCTGGTTTGGGTTTCTTTTTTCCTTCTCTCTTTACAATACAGCAAGAGGAAAGAAAAATGCAGGCGGCAGATGAGCCGGGCCTGGAGCTGGAGAGGACTGGGCCATCCCGCCGGAAGAGCAGGCTGAGGCGGGCAGCGCTCGCCCAGCAGCTGGCAGGAGGCGACAGCCCCGAGGGGCAGAGCGGGGCAGAGGGCCGTCCCGGTCAGCAGCAGCACCAGGCCCGCAGCAGCCAGCCTGCAGTGGCAGGCTGGACGCAGGGTCCTAGGATGGAGGCCTGGTCCCCTCGACGCCGGCCCAGGGCAGCAGGCAGGGAGGAGGCGGAGGGGCGCCGAGGCCGAGTTCTAGCAGGATCCCCTGGGCTGCGGGCCCGGAGGGCAAGAGCCCTCGGCACTCGTCCCTGCTCCTCAGTCAATCAGCTTCTTCAGGAAGGCTTCCAGCTGGTCCTCGTCCTTGATGCCCACAAACTTGTCCACCACGTCCCCATTCTTGATGGCCAGCACGGTGGGCACGGCCGACACCTAGGCGAAAGGGGCAGAGCGGCGCAGTCACGCGGAGGTGGGCTCTCCTCGAGTGCCGTCCTGTGCCCCTGGGGGCAGGGGTGATGCCCGCTGCCACGCGGGCCTCCCCCGCACAGGGGCCCAGCAGAGCCCTCCCTCCCCCAGCCTGGTGGTTTGGCTGGGGTGACCCTGCAGGCCCCTGGGCGGGAGCCGCAGGGGCCAGGGGAGCACCCCCCCCACCCCCCGGCCCAGGGGCAAGCGGCCCCAGGCAGAGGCGGCAGGAGGAGTCTCAGTCCCCGCCCTGCCACGCCTGAGCTGGCACCTGGCCAGCGGCCATCCGGCCTGTGGGCCCTCAGTGCCCTCTGCTGTAAAATGGGGCTGAGGGTTTCCACCTCGGGGCGCAGGCTCTGGAGCCCCTAGGGCCCTTGCCCTGGGGGTACTTTCCGACTCCACAGAGTTCTCATCAGCAACTGAGTGTCCAGCAGCCTCACCTCAGAGGGGCAGGGCCTGCTGAGACAGCAGGCGGGGCCTCGGCGCCCTGCAGTCAGTGTAGGGTGCACTCGACATACACAGGCGGCGACATGGGCGCCTGAGCCACCGCGGCCCCACGCACGCTGCCTGCGGGAGGGGCGCCCCCCAGGGCCTGCCGCTCCCTGTGGGAGGAGGCTGCTGTACCACGAAACCTCCTGGCCCTGAAGCATTTTCGCAAGCTCCCTCAGGGACAAGTCTGAGTGACCTGGCATGTCAGGAGGCCCAAGGCCCGCTCTGGCATCCAGCCTCTCCTGCAGCCTGGGCTCCCTGCCTGGCATTTGGGAAAAAATATAACCAGAGCAAGACAAACAGGAGCCTTTTCTCAAACACACGTTAGCTACCGGAACAGCAGAGATTCCCACAAACACCGGGCCTTCCACCCCGAGCGCCGTCCTGCCAGAGTCACCCCGGGAAGCCAGCTTAGACCTAGAAAGTCAAACTGACACCTCAGCGGCAAACCCGGAGCTGGCTACCTCGACTCTCCAGCAGGGCCCATCTCTCCCTCACTGGCCCCTTGCACCCCTTCCCCACTGGCTTCTGGGGCACACCCGGCAGCGAGATGACAGGGCCCCTGACCCTGGTAGTGCCACAGGCTCCGGAAGGCCTGTCCAGAGACTGACGCGCTTCCCAGAGGCCCGGCGCAGGCAGACTCACTGGCCCCTCTGGCCCGGTCTCGGGCTGCCAGGGGCTGCCACGCTGCGCCCCCTACTGGCCTGCGCGGGCAGCTGGCGCCTCGGCCTGACAAGGGACACGGGCACTAACCGGCTCCGCATGGACCGGTTCCCACTCAGCTGTGCCTGCTAGGCGACCGAGTGCCCACTCACAGACTGCGCCAGGTGCACACCCGGCAGGCCCGCCACATCCCGTCCCATGGGCCATCGAGTCTGCGCCGACATGGTGTCCTCGGAAGCTCGAGCTGGAACTCAAGCTTGCCAGAGGCCAGGCTCTAGGATGCTGCTGGGAGACCTGGCTGTGACCAGACTCCCACGCCCCAGGAGGCAGCAGCTGCCGGCCCTGACTGGCCCATGCCCCAGGAGGGCCGCGCTGCCTTAAATGGAAGCGCACTGGACGCTGGCAGTCCTCTGGAGGGGCGTAAAGAGGCACTAAGGGGGACAAAGAGGCTCGCTGTCCTCTCGATTCTGGCTGCACTGGCAGCCGGTTGGCGGGAAGAGAGGTGCGGACATGGCCTGGCTGCTGCACCGGCCGGCTGGAGCCGGGGGCGCGTGTGCGAGTGGGGCCACCACGGGCCCCGTGCCCCTGCGGCGAGCACTGTCCCTGCGCGCCTCCCCCGACCTCCCTCCACCTGTCTGTGGACGGTCAAGGGCCCACCGAGGGGCTCGGGAGGACGATGCCCGCCTCACGGAGGCGAGCGCCCCTCCTGGGCTGGTCTACGCCGGTGCCCGACTCTTCCCTCGAGGGGGTCATTGAGAGATGTGAGGACAGGGGCTCAGTGACCAAGTAGCCAAGCTGGGATCTGAAAGAGGGGCTCAGCTTTGCAGCCTGTGACCTCAAACCCCTGGCGCCTCCGCCTGAAAGAACTCGGGGAAGCACTAAGAGGATTTCACACCTGAAGTGAGAAATGCCCGATGCTTTGTAAACACGGTGCCCGAGGGGGCTGGAGAACCGTCGCTGAAAAACCCAGACCCAACTTTATGTCGCACCAGAAGAGGCAAAACAGCAGAGACCAGTGATCTCCAGATTCGGGGGGCAGGCGCAGGTGGCCCACGGCGCTCTGGGCGCGCAGCATCCTCTGCGCCGAGGGCGGCCGTGATCACCACACCAGCACCAGCAGGGTGAGGCTGCGCCACGAGCCCAGAGGGGAGAAGACATCCAGCAGCACCCGCCCGCCCCGGCCGTGGCGGTGGCTTTAGGGGTGCTGCCCGGTGTGTGGTCCGGACTCCTCAAAGGGCCTCACGGGAGCTGCTCAGAACTGCACTGCTGGGCCCTTGGGCCAGGCGAGCCAGACTGCTGTAGCGGTAGCCCAGGCCGAGCTCCTCAGCGGCGGGTGTGACCAAGGATGGTGCAGTCAGCTATGAAATTTTATCACTCAAAAAACTGTCTGGGGGGTGTGTGTGCCCAAAATGAACCAAACCCTCAAATGAAGCTCTACACGAGTCAGCCCAAGTATCGGCAGTGGCTGCTTGCTGGGTGGTGACAGTGACCTTCCCCCTGTGTGGCCGTTTTCCTAGAGCTTCCAACAGGTCTGCGGTTCTGTAAGACGAGGGCCTCGTGCCAGGAAGCAGAACGGCGCAGGCCCCGGCCTGTCTCTCCCTCAGCTGGCAGGCGGAGCCCCGAAGAGCCGGGCCGGCCCGCGGGTGTCTCCCCGTCAGCAGGCTGGGGCTGGGGAGGACACCAGGGCCTGAAACCTGGAGCCTCTGGGACACAGGGACATTCCAGGGCGGCAGCTGAGCGTGGAGTGAGGGGAGCGGCATCTGGGTGAGGAAGGGGACTCACCCCAAGGCTGCGTGCTGGGAGTGGGGGTGCCAGGACAGCGCCTCCTTCCCTGAACAGGCTCATCCAACATTTGGAAAAGGGCTTTAGGCCTCCGCGGAAGGTGTCCCAGGAGACGCTCTGGAAACTCCTTTTCCGCAGGCGCGCTTCCAAAAGAGCAGGTGTGAAGGAAGGAAAGGGCTGGGAGGTTCCCCGTGGAGCATCCTGAGCCGTGAGGACGTCAGCCGGGCTTGGCAAAACAGGAGGTCGGGCCCAGGCGACTCTGGCCAGCAGCCTTGAGGTCTTTCTGTGTGACCTCTGTGCTATCTGGACAGTGCAGAGCGAGGGGAGCGTGCGCCTGCCGCCTCCTTTCCGGGCAGCAGCAGAGCTCCGGTGCCCACCCCAACCATGTGGGCACTGCTGGCGGGAACTGGGTTGCTCTTTGCGTCTACACCCGCGAGCACAGTTCCTGGCACATGGCTGGCACTCAAGACGCGTCTGCCATAGACCTTGGCAGGGGCTGAAGCTGCTTCCTGGCAGTGCCAGGAAGAAGGCTGCCCGGGGTGGGGCCGGGACGCCAGCCCAGCTCGACCTCCCCTCCCAGGAGGGATGGACAAGGGGGGCAAGCTAGGGCTGTCCAGAGGGCCAGGTAAGTGTCCCCGACTAAGTGACCAGCGGGAAAGCTTTGGGAAGAAAAGCAGTGACTCGCGCTCCCCTCGAGCCCTCGCCACTAATGCCGGGCAGCCAGCGGTGTGCCCCAGCAGTGGCCACTGCCCCTGGCAGCTTGTGCACAGCACCTGCTCCCAGTGCCTCTGCTCAGCGCAGCCCGCCTCTAGGGGCCACTCCCAGCCCCAGTCCGGGGCAGCCAGCCCTACTGACACCTGCCTGCCGGCTTCCCCCACATGCCTGGCTGGCCATGGGCAGAGAGTTGAGCCCACACTTGTGAACCCTGAGGAGGAAAGAGGCCCCTCTGCCTGCCATTTATTCCTCAGGAGGATGAAGGGGTGAAGGTTCACACTGGCCAGAGCCAGACATTTCAAAAGACCTACAAATCTGAATGTTCACCTGATGTGAGCACCTAGTTCAGTTTTTAAGGAACAGCACTGGGGGGTGACCTCTCTGGAGGCCGAGGGGCCAGTGCTACCACTGCGACAGCCCACCACCATGACAGCCTGAGTTCGACCCCCGGCCAGGGAGTGACCCACAAGGTGCGGCAGACCTCTCCTGTCTCCCTGCTGCTCCCCTCAGCAGTGTACTTCGTTGATCTGCCTGTTCTGCTCCCCGCTGTCTCTGCTGAATCCTCTCACCCCCACCCTGACCTCTGGCCGGCACCCCAGTTCTTCTGTGCAAAAATAAAAGTAAAACAAATAGCACTTTTTGAGGACCCAGCAAAACTGGTCAGGAGCCAGCTCTGGCCCCAGACCCCAGGGGCGCGCTTGGCCTTGCAGGGTCTCAGACGGCTGCCCAGGCCTGTTGCTGGAGCCTACCCAGCGGCCTGTCCTTAGTCCAGCTGCAGCCCAACGGGCCACAGCCCAAGGCTGCCCCTCACCACACACCTGGCACCCTCCCTCCAGCGTGCTCTATGCCAGGCACACAGCGCATTTCCTGCGAGCTAATGTAGGCTGGCTGGGCCCTGGGCCTTGGCATTTGATGTCTGCTCTGCCTGGATTCTCTTCCCCGAGGTCACGACCCACGCCTCACTCCTTCCAGCTACTTGCCCAGATGTCAGCCCCAGGGAGGCCGCGCCCCACTTCCATTTCAGCACTCCTACCCCTTCACCCTGATTTATTTTCTCCGTGGCACAGCCCGCTGTCTGTTCTGTAAGTAGTCATACTGGCTCGAGGCACACCCACTTACTTACAAATTGTCTATGACGGCTTTCCTTATGGATTTGCAACAGAGATCATCCCTGCAAAGCCTCAAATATTTACCACCTGGTCCTTTAGAGAGAAAGTTGTGACTCCCCCCCACCCCAATACTAGAACATGTGCTCCATGAAGCAGGGAACTTGTAAGCTCTGTTCACTGCTGTAGCCTCAGCACTGGCTGCAGCCGCATCCAGGGACTCAGTGACCATCTACAGCAGGAGACATCTACAGCAGTGTGCACGCACAACCCAAGACGCCTGACCACCCAGGTCTTTCTGCGGCTGTCCCTCGGTCCATCCTTCCTCCTGTGCAGCCTTCAGCCCCCAGAGCCCCCAGTGCAAAGCCTTCCCTGCCCCTAAGCCCCTGAGAGTGATCAGTCCTCCTTGCTTTGTACATCTGTCTCTCAGCAATTCTCTCCCTACGTTCAAATGACCTAACTGCCTGTGTTCTCCGTGCTGAAAAGCCAACATCTGCACAAGGGCTTGGTGGGAAAAGGGGTGTATGTACCCTGCAGCCTTGTGAGCACCAGGGGCTCTGTATGAATCATGACTGCCTGGCTCTGCCAGGCCCACAAACTGCTGACTGAACACCCAGGGGACGGATGCTGAATGGAGGGACCACCCCTGGTGCTCTGGCTTCTGCCCCACTTCCTAAGCGCGACACGAGGGACTCAGGCTCAAGAGAGGCGCATCTGCAAAGTGCTCCGCGCACCTGAGAGCTCCAGAAAACCCAAGACGCTGTCCTTACTGGCTGCCAGCTGGTCCCCAGGACATCGCCCCCACCGGCTATCTGGGGTCCCCATGTCCGCCATGAGTGCCCGCTGCCCCATGGCAGGGCCCTGCCAATCCATACCTCATACTCTATGGCGAGGTCTGTGTGATCGTCAATGTCCACCTTGGCCATCACCACCTTGCCTTGCTGCTTGGCCACCATCTTCTCTAATCTGGGCCCCAGGATTTTGCAGGGGCCGCACCACCTCGGGAGGAAGAAGAAGCATCTAGTCGCAAGAGTGCATGCCGTGTGTCAGCGGTCTCCCGGGACCCTTCCCCTGACCCACGTCTTTCAGAGGAAACTTTTGCTCTGATCACCTCTGTTGACAGTTTGAATATTAACCTGTGACACTGGTTACACTGCAAAAAGGTAGTGCCAGGAGACGTTGCAATCGGCTGCTTTCACAAGCCTGGGATGCCAAAAACTACTGCTGAAAAGCTCTTACAGCGGTTATTTCACTGACTTCAATGTACCTAAAAATATACTATATGTATTTTTACAGGATGTGATGTGAAAGAGAGGGCCCGAGCCAACCCACCAAGGCTCTGGAGCCTCAGTTTCCTCATTTGAGAGCGAGACTGTATCCAAGGCTGTAAGAGATCAGCCGCGGCCTGTGGTGCTCGCCTTTGGGGACGTCAGTTCCTCCAGACACCTTCGGGACAGAGTAAGTGAGTGGACACCAGTGGCTTGGGAGCATCTACCACGAGCCCAACCTGTGCCAGGACCCGCTTGGCTCTTAGCGCACAAAACCCTCCACCCTGAGGAGGAAAAGAAGGTGCCCTAAGGACCTGAGTGCCTGGAGTGAAGGAACACGCACAAGGTCGCACAGTGAGGGGCTGGCGAGTCGCGCCTGTGTCCACGGCATCTTCTTAGCCCCAGGCTGCTGTGCCCCCAAGGAGAAACCTGCTCTCACTGCTTGGACACCAGGTGGCAAACTCTTGGAGAAAACTGACGATCCTCTCTAGGTAGGTGGCACTAAGGGGCTGAACGAACTCCCATCTGGGCTCCTTGGTGGGGAAGAAAATGAGGCATCGTCCCACTCACCACTCACTTGGAAGCCCCTGTGCCCAGCATGCCAGCAGGGAGGACTGCTCTGCCCCCACAGCCCCCAGCCGAGGACTCTGATTAAATGTCAGCCTTTGAAACCCCTCCTCTTCAGACATTTTGATGAATGAACTAGCACGACCTGTGCAAGACTTTATCTCCTATAGCAAGCGAAGAAAGGGAGGACAAGGACATCGAATGGCCTGTCCCAGGCAAAACGGTGAGTCAGAGAAGTAACAGAGAGAAGCAAACACACATCAGGGGTTTGTCCAGAACCTCCCAACCTTCCAAGCTACACTGACTCTTTCCAGAATGCCTCATTCGAAGGGACTCGTCCCGTTTTTGGCTTTCTCTTTTTTTCTGATAGCCAAGCCCCAAAGGCTTATAAAGACGGGCATCTAAATACCCCTAGAGCAAACTCCTTCGGCACTGAGAAGCCCCTGTCATGCCCGTCTGCTCAGCCCCCACTGTGGTGGCACTGATAAAATTTGCTGGCCCTTCTCATTTTTTGGTGGCAAGATGATAAAATTCAATCAACTTATCTGCCAGGCCAGGAACTAAAATCCAGATAATGCTAGAGTTATATTTTTTCCACTTTGGGCCAAGCTGAGGCTGTGAACCATTTCTGGCAGGGAGACAGAACACAGCGTTTCCCAGCACCATCGCAGGCACACTGAGGACTTTCCTGACCTATCTCCTACTGCACTACCCTCCATCGTCACTCGCAGGGGTGGCTCTTACCAGTCTTTGCAACGAGGCACGTAAGAGAAGCATGGAACATGGTAATGGGCAGAGCAGACCACCAATAAACGCTCAAACAAGTGACACCCCAGTCTTCCGCTGGCCCCCAACTCACTGTGCATGGAAATCCACAACCACTGGTGTTTCACTGTTGACAACTCGGTCTTGAAAGTCAGGTCCATCCTGGATGTTAAAGGTGGTTGCACAGACTCTGCTGGTGTACAGTGACCGAGCTTGGCGGGATCTTACTGCCAAACCACCAGGGCTGAGCTGTGGGGTCTGCAGGGCCCCAGTGGGGAGGGGTGCCCACCTCTGAGGGGGATTCCGGGAGATGATGGAAGCCAGACACCTCCTCAGGAGCAGTCGCTGCGCCATCTGTGAGAAGAAGAGGCAGGAAGAGCTGAAGCAGAAAGTCAACACTTCAGAAAAATAGAAGGGATGTGGGAATACCTGGGAGCTCAAGAAGATGCAGGGCTGAAAGCAAACTGCCAGAAGTGAGTAGAGGAGGAAATGGAAAGAGAAGAAGGAATCACAAACCAGGACAGGAATATTCGCTGGCCAGAAGATATCAGAACAGAGGTGAGCCAACACATGCAGTATTTACAGAGCAACCTGCTAAGGGCCACGGGCCTTACACACAGCCCAGGGCTCCCGATCAACTCCGAGAGGGTTTATATACATTGTTGGCGTTAAGGAGGAGGAATCCAGGCGCAGGGGAGTTGTGACATGCTCGAAGAACCCAACTACTGAACGAGAGCCACACGGGAACCCAAGGCCGTCTGCAGAGCCCTTCCTCTACCGACTCCTCTTCTACTAACTTTTGATGGGAAGTTGAGAGGAAGAGGGTTTTAGAATCATGAAAACGCGCCGCGACCACTCACGGAGGAACTAAGCGGCGCAGGGCACAGGAGAGTGGAGGGAACTATAAGAAGGAGGGACGTGCGTGTGGAGGGAACAGGGCACTCGGACTCCACGGCCACGGCGGCCCCCCAGAGGGCAACACCCCCCAGCCCGGCGCGTCCTCCCGCTAGGCCGCAGTTCGGCTCAAGGGCGCGCCCGTCCGCAGCGTGCCTCGGCCCCAACAACACCTCGAGCCGTCCCCGCGGGCCGCCTACCTCCGAGCACGGCGAGCGGAGGGATGCACCTCCCGGCCCTCCCCTCCCCGCCCTTCAAGGGCACGGCTGCCGTCACTTCCTCAGGGGTGGGCCTACCGTCACTTCCGGGCCTGGCAACCCGGGGCGCGTCTCTATGCAACTGGAGGGGAAGCTCGGATTCTCCGCCCACGGGGATGATGAGAGATGGCATTGCGCTTCTGGGGTGGCGATTCAATGACTGGAAAAGAAGGACCCTGGGCTGGGAGAGGCCGGAAGAGGGGTGGGCTGTGGGGGCGGAACCGGAAGAGGAGGCGGGCCCAGGGAGAGTGGCCGGAAGACGGGGCGGCCTTCGAGGGAGGGGCTACAGTAGGGGACGAGCCGGAAGAGGCGGGTTCTACTGGTGGGGCCGGAAGAGGCGGAGAGGGCGGGAGCTGGAAGAAAGGCCCTGGGAGCGCCTGGGTGCCGGCCTGCGAGGCCTTGTTGGTCAGCCGGCCTCACCACCCTTGTGCTGCCTTGTCTTCCAGCGACCCTGAGAGGTGCTGGAGGTTCTTTTTCCCTTCCTTTAAGAACGAGGGGGGTAATCTCTAAGGTGTGCCACTTAGGGCCATGACTGCAGTAAAGACGCAACTTCGGTTCCCTGCGGTGACTTAGGGCTGAACTTGCCCTCCCAGCGCCTCTCTGGAGTCCGGGGAGCTGGGCTCGGCAGGCGCCATGATGGTGACAGTCGGGGCGCCTTCCTTGGGTGGGGTCTGTCAGGAACCAGGGAGCACCCGTGTGGCAGTCCCCTGCATCCTGCACCTTCATTGCGGCCCCTCCTGGTTCAGTGGGTACTACCGATGCCAGCTTCTTCCTGCCTTTGCGTAATTCAAAATGACTCGTCCTCCCGCCACGCAGCAGACGCCTCCTCTTTACCTCTTTGAGCAGCGTGAATTGTTTCCTTCTCTAGACATTTGTTCATACCTAAGGGCACAGAGTCGTCTCTTCCACTAGGCCACGAGCTGCCCGAGAGTCCGGGTTTAGCTTTTCTGTAGCCCTGGGCCCAGCACCAACCTGATAACAGTGCCTGGCTCACAGTGTGCAGTAGATGCGCGGTAATGACTGTCCCGGGGATGGTGACTGTCAGCTTACTTGCCCAAGGTCACAAAGCAGGTAAACTGGCACACCCCGTCTCCTCCATTTCAGCCTGCGCTCCATCTAGTGGGGATTGCTTACAGTTCCAGACTTCGCTTAAATGTCTCCCATCTTTGTACTTTGTAGCGGCCCTTCCCGAGGTCTGGAAGGCCTCCGGCTCTAGTCTCCATCTGAGAAAATGCTAGCAGATGCCAGATGAGGCTTCATCCCTGGAAGCCCTTTCCCGAGCCTCCTCCAGGAGGGATAGAGGCCCTTCTCTGTGCACCGATTCTCAGCCCCTGGGGTCCATTTCTCCAATGCCTGACGCAGGACACAGTCGCCACGAACAGAAGGCAGGGGTCCAGATTGAATCTTCTGACACCAAATCCGACTTCCCCTCCTGCACTGCACTGACCCATTGCGCCTCTCCCACAGCGCCTCTCCCACAGCGCCTCTCCCACAGCATTCCAAGTTTATCCCAGTTCATTGTGGCCACACCATTTGTCCCCTATTTGACTGGCTGGCTTACTTCCTCTCTGCGGTGGGCACAGCCGCAGCTGCACAGGGACTTTCCTCTGGGTTGGGGTCAGGGGAGCCTTGGGAGAGGTCCGCATCCCCTGGCCACCAGCAGCCAGGTCAGCCTTCCACCTTAGAGGCCCTTGACCACTGCACCCTAACTCCTGCTCTTACCTCTACCCCTGCTGAGGACTGGAGCAACAGTGATGATCCACAAGGGGACCCCCAGTCCTCCTGGCTTCTGAGGTCAGCATCCCTTGGTGCAGCTGTTGCTGCTAATCCAGCTAGCATCTGGCGGGGATGATACTACCCTGCCCATTTTCATTTCTGTTTCTTCTCCAGCACTTTCTCTCCCAGAACCACCCCACTAATTCTATTCAGTGTTCCCTACAGCATTTTCTGGAAGGCCGGTTTCCCTGCTTATTTCACATTCTGAATTCCAAAGAAGAACAAGTTCTGTTTATCCTTATTCCACAGTCACTTCATCTCTGTTGGCCTCAGACTCCTCATCTGAGAAATTTGAAGAAGATGCCTTTTCACCAGGGAAGGGTGGGTACAGGGCCTGGCATCTCCTTCCCTCCTGTGAGACAGAGAAAGCTGCACCATAGGCTTCTGCAAAGGGAGCCTTAGCTGTGTGGAGGCTCATCTGCCCAGCCAGAGCTGGCCTTCCCTGGGCCTGCTGAGTCACCAGGCAGGTCAGGGCACAGTAGGAGGGCAGGGCAGGGCAGGGCGCCAGGACTGGCTGCCAAGCTCAGGTAAAGGTGCTGCTGTTATCTCTTTTTGATAACGTTTTTTTCAGACTGCGGGATGTGAGCTCTCCCTAAGGCTGTGAACCAGCAACAGCATTATCAGCATATGGTGCCAGTTGCGTGTTTCTGAGACATTTTGGGGTTACGTCCTCGGTTGTGATATAGGTGTATTTCTTACTGTGGGTCGCGGTTAAAGGGGTTAAGGCCTTCGAGCCATGGAAAGCTTGCCAAACAGAGAACTATTTGAAGCATCCTACAGGCATCGACTCATTTACTCCTACAGCCCTATGAGGTTGGCATTATTACACTCCCCATCTTACTAATGGGGAAACTGGGGCATGGAGTGGTTATTAACTTGTTGGGGTGATGCAGACCATGGGAGGTGGAAGCTTAAAGGTGCTATTCTGCTCTTAGCAAGAATCTGTTTCCATTCAAAAGTGCTGCCTCCTTGCCCCTAAGTAACTTGGCCCCAGAGACTAATTGACCGACATGAGAGAGAAAAGAGGGACCCAAACCCAGGGTGGGCCAGCCGTCACAGGCGCGCTGCACACAGAGGTGTCCACAAGGAGGCGCTGTGGCTCCCAGTTTCAGTGGACCAGGCTTGCCCCGTGCGGTCTTCCAGGAGTGGACCCCTGGGGTCTGTAGGATGATCTCAGGTGTATCCTGGGTCTGAGGATTTCATGGCTGTAGGGAGACCCTTAAACAGTGAGGTGGGGGGCCACATTGTAACCTGATAGCGAGCTGTTTTCTGTGGTGGTGTTCTGAAGGTATCTTTTTCTGTTTCAGTGATAATTTTTGGGGGGTTGTAGCTTTTTTTTTTTTAAAGATTTATTTATTTATTCATATAGAACTGGGGTACAGGCCAGAGATGCGGAGGGTGAGAGGCTTCACCAGAGACAGAGTGGGGAGCAGAACAGGCAGATCGACGAAGTACACTGCTGAGGGGAGCAGCGGGCGGGTCAGGAGAGGTCTGCCACGCCATGTGGTCTCCTCCGGGGCAGGCGGGAATGAACTCATGCAGAAGTGGCTTTAGCTTCTCAGTGCTGTGCTTTAACCTGCTGCGCCACCAGGGAGGGCCGGTTGTAGCTTTTTAATACTGTCACAGGACAATTAGACCCATGCCTTCAGTTTTGCAGTTCAAGAAATTGGCTTCATGTTCTGCTGTGATTCATATTTGTTGTGTTCCCGGCAATTATACAATGGCCCCCTCATCTCTTTCTGAACAGAAAGACTTGACCCCCTGGTGGTACAAAGGGTTAGGTGTTTGACCTCGGGCCCCAGAGGTGATCCACAGAGCCCAGCAGACCTCTCCTGACCCGCCCGCTGCTCCCCTCAGCAGTGTACTTCGTTGATCTGCCTGTTCTGCTCCCCACTCATTCTGGTGAAGCCTCACCGCCTGCACCTCTGGCCTGTACCCCAGTTATGTATGTACCCCCTCCCGGGAGGGCAGATCTGCTGGTGTTGGAGGCGGGGTCTGTGGCTGCTGAGCATGGGGTGGGGGAGGGCTGCCTGCTGGGTTCCTGTTAGACCCTGCCTGGCCTGATCTGGTGGCTCAGATTCTACTGGGTGGGCCAAAGTCCGCAGCTGCGGGACCCTGGGGAAGGAGGCCCTTCCTCTTCCCCAAATCTCTGTGCCACTCTCACTCTTTGGCAGCTGTGGAGCACAAAAGAAGAGCTCTGAGGCCAGAATTGAAACTACTTCTTCCTCAGGCACAACCCAGCCCTCTGGGTGACCTTGCATGAGTGGGCCAGACTTTCTGACTGCTCCCTGGCTGTGTGAGGTTCTGCAGAGGGCTTCCTCTGCAGAAGGGGGGGAACTTTCTAGCCTGAAATCAAGCACATCTGGTCGTCACCTCACGCCTCACAACTAGATCAGCACTTTGCATCTCTGAACTCATTTTATCCTCACAGTAAGTGGGAGGCTATTACTGCTGGTTGTCCCATTTCACAGGCTAGAGAAAGCGAGACCAAGCAAGTAGCAGAACGGGGACTCAACCCCAGGCCAGTGAGTGTGAACGCCACAAGCTTAGGCAGCCTGAGCCTTCCTGGAGTTACCCCAGGCTGCCCCTGGGGGCGTGTCAGACATGAGGGGAGGTGGGGCTCAGGTGTGCCCATCTGAGAGTTAAGTGACATGAGAGCTCAGGACTCAGATGGGCAGGATTTAGTTCCAAGCGCTGCAGCTTCTGCAATCTGCCCCAGCCTTGGTTTTCTTGTCTGTAGAATGGGACTTCAGACACCATGCACAGGCATTTTCTGAGGGCCAGTTCCCATGTGCAAAAGATTAAAAGTGACAGTTTAAAAAAGTGGGGCCCTCCCTGGTGGCGCAAGGGATTAAATCTCAGCACTGTGAAGCTATTGGAAGCCGCTGCAGCACGAGTTTGGTCCCTGCCAGGGAGCAGCAGACCTCTCCTGTCTCGTCCTCTGCTCCCTCAGCAGTGTGTTTCAGGAGATTGGCCCAGTAGATTGGTTCTGCTCCCCACTCTGTCTCTGGTGAATCTACTCACCCTCCACCTCTGGCCTGCAC